TTTCCAAGTAAAACTTTCTTTTAGTTGGTAATGGCCAGCCCACATTCACAGATGTATACATTGTTCACTGATGACCAGTTTTAGTTTACTATTTTCCAGGGCCACCTGTACTCTGCTTTAGTGAAATACACACTCTTATTACCTTTCTCTCCCTTGCAAGTGACTTTCCAGGCCCCAGTACTGAATGCTATTGGTGAAACTGTCAATTCTGATACAGTGGCAGACCCTAAGAGCACCGCCTGACTTTTCAGTCAGTAGATGGACAATACAATCTCATTTTTCCTTCTTATTACATTTCCCCACTAGACTAAGCTTTGAGAAACAACTCAGTTTCATTTTAACCTAAAAATAAAGTTGAGCTACTTGACCTTTCTATTCTTCAAAGTCTCTTAGAGCAAATTGCTATCAGCTACCTCCTTTCACATTTCATAGCAACAGGCACAATATGTTCTTATTCATTGCTTTTCTAGCTACCAACTGCTTTGCTCAGCAGGCAGCTATGTTGTGGTTGGAAAAGGTGCCCTTCTAACAGATCTAATACTTATTTAACTAAAAGTAACCTCTGTGGCTAACCTATAATCATAGTGAGCTTCAATCAAACATTTTCTGTACATACAGTGTGTCTTAAGCATGTCAAGAACTTGTGATTTGAAACCTCAGTAGTGTGGGATTTATACTCACTCAGGCTCCCAAGTGCCTTTGGGACTCTCAGATTACATGTGGGACATCCATGAAATATGGAAAGGAAATAGCAGTGCACCAAATGTTACAATACAATTCAAGATATAAGCCAAGATCTGTGTAAGAGGCAAGCTCCTTTGGTTAATTGCCATTTTTGAATGCATTTAAGTAAAAGTAGCCTTTTTTTTTTTTTAAAGCAAACAGGCATAGACTTAAATGAAAAAAAGTATAAATAAAAGCAAATGAGAATTTGTAAAAGGATAAACCATGAACCTCTAATGTTTCAGACCCAATGTTTGGGCAGACTGAGATTTTAAAAAAATATATGCTAGGTTCTTAGTTTTTATTCCCCAGAGGTCAACTTATTTCTTAAACCTGTTCTCTTTATTCTCAGAATTATCCTAGAAAATGCAGGTATCAATCCAATGTAATCCATAACTCTCCCACTTTACCTAATACCCTGATCCAGCAGAGGTGGCTATTTCTCAAACACTACATATCTTCTTTATGAACTTGCTGTCTTATCTGTTCAGGCTGCTAGTAAAAGAATACCATAAACTGGTAACTTATGAACGACATACATTTAATTTCTTACAGTTATGGAGGCTGGGAAGCCCAGGTTCAGGACACCTGCAGATACTGTGTCTGGTGAGGACCTGCTTTATCTTCTCTCCATAACCTCACATGGTAGAAGGGGCAAGGGCATCTCTGGACTCTTTTAGAAGAGCACCAATCCCATTCATGAGGGCTCCACCTTCGTGACCTGATTACCTCCTCAAATCCCCACCTCCTAGTATCATCACCATGGGGGTTAGGATTTCAACATATGAATTTTAGGGGGACACCTGCTTCCTCAGTCCCTCTGCTACTCCTTGTTCAATCCTCACTTCACATCTTCGGCTTTTATCTCTCCTCTGTGTCTTTCTATTCCTAGTCATTGAAATAAATATTCTCCTAGAGACTAGAAGTTGTTTAACAAGCCACATAACAATATCAATCATCTATAAGAAGCAGGTGCTGGTGGTATCACCAACTCCAGTGAGTTTTTTAGTATGAAGGCAAAAGAAAAGGATTCAGCTCCTGGAACATTCATTCTTAGGATGCTTCCTCTAGGAACACAGCTATTGTGCTGGGAGAAGCCCAAGCTATGGGGATTGGCTATATGCAGGCACTTTGAGTCCATAGCTGCCAGCTGAGGTCCTGGTCACCACCCAGCCCAACAGTCAGCCCTATGAGTGAGCTCTCTTGGATGTCATCCTTAGATGAGCAATCAGAAATTCCCAGCCCCAGTAGTCATGTCATTGCACCACTTGAGAGAGCCCAAAGATAACTTTCCAGATGACCCTAGTCAAAGAACAGACCCCTCTATCCAGTTGGCAAATTTACCCTACATTTTAACAAGGTGAAGATCATCTGAAGGGTGCAGATTTGTTAAGGCTCCTGAAAGACTGAAGGTCATAACTCATAAACCCTTTCAACTAGACAAGAAGCATTCTAAGAATCTTAAAATCACTGTCTCACCTAGTGTTGACACAGAAAATACAGCATGCAATATTCAGCAGTATTAACCCTAAAAATGTATTCATTGATTTTTCTGAAATTCAAATTTAACTGCTTTCTGTTTTTATTTGCTTAATTTCGCCACCTAGCAGAGTATCCTGAATCTCTACCCAAGAAAGAATGGGGCTGGTCTCAAAGAAACTACTTATCATCCCCTCCATACTTTATTCCTTGGCTTTTTGTTAATTCAGTACAGAAAGTAGATTCCCTAGATCAATCAAATCTACTTATTAAAATGCTGCAAACCTTTCCCCAAGATCCTCTAAACAAATATTCATTCTTAACATTTCCAAAACTTTCATAAAGTATTTAGCTGAATCTCATAGAACAAATTGAAAGGCAAACTAGAACTTAGACTTTGGGAAAATCAGATCAAATGCAAATAAAGACAAACTTTCAATAAAAGAAAATATTACTGATTTTGATTTTTCTCAGAAGAATACAGTGAAGGGGGGAAACTCATGGATTTAGATGATTTTCAGCAGCAAAAAATACATTAGAGTTCATGGAAAAATAATACCAATAATATTTAATTTTTGAATATTGATTCATAGTTTACATATAATAGATTATTTAATTTGAATTTCACAAGAACCCATGTGAAGTAGAAAAGCATAGATCATTTTTTAATTCTGTACATCTCAACACTGACTAGAGTTCAATACATGTTGTTAGGTTGAATCATTACTTCTGTTTTACACATGAAGAACCTGAGGTTCAAAGAAGTAATGTTGCTTTGGGAGGCTGAGGTGGGTGGATCCCAAGGTCAGGAGATCGAGACCATCCTGGATAACACAGTGAAATCCTGTCTCTACTAAAAATACAAAAAAATAAATAAATAAATATTAGCCGGGCGTGCTGGCAGGCACCTGTAGTCCCAGCTACTCGGGAGGCTGAGGCAGGAGAACGGCATAAACCCAGGAGGCAGAGCTTGCAGTGAGCTGAGATTGCACCACTACTCTCCAGCCTGGGCGACAGAGTGAGACTCCGTCTCAAAAAAAAAAAAAAAAAACAAAAAAAAAAAGCAAAAAAACAGAAATTATGTTAATAGCCAGATAAACAATATGTGAAAGGGAGGACTTGAACTTGGGATTCTGACACCTGATTAACTGGTTTTCCTGATATATCATGCAAACTCTAAAAATTCTGTAAGCAATGAAGGTCAATTTTAAAAACAAACTAAAGTGTACCCTGGGTGAGGAAGATGCTGATTCAACTATTATTGAGCACCCATTATATTACATGTCCGTCACTAAGCTAGGTGATTTTTATACACATTTTCTCACCTCATATGAACTGTCAGTAATAGTTCCCGCAGAATGCACCTATCTAAATCTTCACTATCTGGAACAAAGCCAAGAATATGCAAGTACATTTATAAGTTTCAGACAGAATAAATGCCAAACTAAAAATTCAGTCATTCCACACATATTTATTGAGTGCTGATTATATATCAGCCACTCTATCAGGCTCTAAGAATGTAGAGTTGGCCTCTGCTCTCTTAGATTTTAGAGTGCGGGGGTTGACGTAACCGCAACCAATGCACTAAAACTGTTATACCTTATTCATTACAGAGCCCATTACATGATCACATGAAATCTAGGTACTCTTATTTTAGAGAAAAGTCTAACAAACTCAATTGTGTATTATCCCTTCTCCAACAAATTGGAAACCTCAAAAAAGAAGATATAACACTAAGAAGCCTCAGCTGACCATCTGGCAATGACAGAGGCCACAGCAGATACAATTCTAGTAACATGTGAGTTTGAAGTCATCTAATCTGTTGGCTAACAATCCTTGCAAACTTGGGTAAGACATAAGCCCTGAGGCTGCCACTGGTTTTGGTCATAGTAATTTAATTCTTTTTTGTCTATGATCCAGATGTGTATGTTGGCCCAGCTACTAAAGAAAATAATGCACTTTAGAAAAATATGTCAAAGAAACACATAATTAAAATAATCAACTGGAAAATTTTCTGATGTTGAATATCTATCTCATTTTATGACAATGTTAAACCAGATAGTATTGTATTAGGACCGTGAAAAGGCAACTACATGTACTACATGTATAAAGCAATGAAATAATTATTTATTTCTACCCTCATTTTAATGCATGAATCTTTTTTGGGGGGGGGTTTGAAGTCTTATTCTGTCACTCAGGCTGGAGTGTAGTGGCACGATATTGGCTCACTGCAAACTCCACCTCCTGGCGTCAAGCAATTCTCCTGCCTCAGCCTCCCGAGTAGCTGGGATTACAGGTCCCTGCCACCATGCCCAGCTAATTCTTGTATTTTTAGTAGAGATGGGATTTCACCATGTTGTCCAGGCTGGTCTCGAACTCCTGACCTCAGGTGATCCACCCACTTCGGCCTCCCAAAGTGCTGGGATTACAGGCATGAGCCTCTGTGCCCAGCCAATGCATGAATCTTTATGCAAATTATAATCAGTTGATATCCATCACATCTATGGCAATTTCTACATAATGTGCTAGTGTATGTTGAAAATCTAAGAAAAAAATACAGGATACTCCAAAACACCATAAACTAAGAGTCCAGAAAAATCTTTAGTAGGCTGGAGGCTTACCTTATGGCAGAGTAAGGGTACCCTAAGGTTTATTTTCCAGAGGTTTCAAAGCAGCTCTCAAACTTTTATCTGCTTTCACACACATGATAGAGGGCACTTTAAAAAATGTGGATGTAAGTTTAAGCAAAGTTTGCATAAGCGCATCAGAGTCAATGTAGATGCGGGTATAGTACTTACTCTTTCTGCATTTTCCCTTCCTTTCTTCCTCGTTCAAAGCTTATCTATTAATAAAATGAGAAAACAAGTTCAAAGGGATTATGAAATTATAACCCACAAATACCACTATAACTTATAAAGCTGCTGCTATCATGAAAGTCAGGGAAAGAAAAAAAAAAAGATAAGCTTGGTTTGTACGTGCATTTCACAAATGCTTTTGCTAAAACACCCTACTGTATGGAGTTAACTATTGTTGGTTTTATCTGTTTGTCTCTTATTTTTCTTTTATTCTGGAAATAGAATCTCAATTTTTCTTTGGGAAATCATCTTACTCCTTACTTATGTAGTTGAATGGGACTGAAAACCCACCACCTACCCAGTTCTTCCCCTCCCGCTGGATTAGGAAATTAGCATCTTTTATCCCCCTTGGAGGCAGGAATGAACATATGACTGTATCGATACATTGAGACTCAATCCCTGAGTTTTGCTGGAATTACTGGGAAGGAGAGATTTTCTTTCTGTGGGTGTTGCTAAATAATGGGTACTCTGTTTTGCCAGTTCACGGAGAAAGTCTACATACAAATCAAATCAACATAAAGGAAAGCAAAGCCAAAAGATGGAGTCAGATTCCCCATCACATTGGTTTAGCACCTTGACCAAACTGTATCTGATGGGGGTAGTCTCCTGAGACTCTTCAGTTTGTTAGTCAATAAATTCCCTTTTTTGTTTAAGCCATCTTGCAAAAAATTTTGTCATTTAAAATCAAGTAAAATCTGGAATTTAATAAAATACAAGCCAGTGAGAGTGACATTCTAGGAATAACCATGGTTCTGCTTTAAGAAAAAAATCATGTAAATGTTTGTTTTCTTAAATGCAATTAGATATTATTTTGTGCCGTTTATCTAATTACTATGGGAGAGCATGAGTCTGGGCAACATTTTAATTAAATAAGGAATTTACCACACCTAAGAATGTCTTACGGTCAAGCATCATAAAAAAAAATTGGTCAATATCATTCACGAAAAATCTCAACACAAAGTACAACAGAATACTAAACCTAATAGGTCTTCCTGAAACACATAATATAATGCCCCCTCCACCCCTAAAAATAGAGTTTATGAATTGAGTATAGTCAACCCAAATGAGTGTCAAAAAAAAAAAAAAAAAAAGAAACTGGAAATAAGATGGAAATAAGATGCCTTATTTATTTTCAAATGCTTCTGGTCTGGTGGCATAAATATTATGTCATGGAGAAGCTGTCATTTAATTAACTATACTGTGCTGCTGGGTACTACGGTAAATCTTTGCATAGAGGATATTGCCTGCCACAAGATTGCTGTTCAGGTGGTATTCGGGAGGTAAACATTTACATCACTCAAAAGTGAGGATTGTGTTCAGCCTTTCTGCCAAGTAGCTTGTCCTTTAGGGTTAACAAGGACCTTGTAACTAGATCCACTTAAAATCTACTTGCAGAGAAAAGGTCAGCCTTTCTTCTTAGTCCTGAGAAAGACTCTATTTGAATGAATCACTCCTTTCCTAGTTTCTTCTCAAGTCATGTGTAGCCTTCTTGCCCACATACTTGCAGGCCTAGATTTATTTTCTCCCAGGGTAGGAAATAAACTCTCTGGCAAGTTAAGAAGTCAACTCCGCCTTAGATTGGGCTCTCTTCTGAATTCTAATCAGAAGCTATTTTTGACTCAGCAATCATTTTCAGGGATTCTTTGGTCTTCGTCTCTTTCAAATCAGTGTGTGTGGGGTGTGTGTGTGTGTGTGTGTGTGTTTGTGTGTGTAAAATCAGTGGCTACTTTTGGATGTATGAGTGGTTCTTTCCCATACCCCAGGTTGGAGCTCCGTGAGCTTCTACATGAAAAGGAATTTCACAGCACTAGAGGTTAATTGCAGCAAGGGAGAAAGGACACAGCCCATGACTTGCCTGATGAATCAACAAAAAGATATATATTAATATTTACTCTGTCAAAGCCAGAGAGAACGTGGTCTTTCATATATTTCGTATATCTCTGTTGTATTTAATCAAATAGGCTTGTGTGCTGGTGAAGAATATATATTCTATAGTTATTCATATCTTTTAAATCCAGGATTCTCCATGATCTCAATTGACCCCATGATTTCAGTTGTATGATCTCAGGTGACTTTCTGAATCTCTCTGTGCCTTAGTTTCCTTATTTGTAAATTGGGAAGACGGTAATAAGGGTGTTGAAAGGTTTTCATGTGATAATGCGGGTGAAGTGCTTAGCACCCAGCAAGTACTCAATATTTCATTGTTAAACTCCGTTCCTACCTGAAAGTGGCCAGGCACTGTTCCAAGTGGTCAATGTCTATCTGTCCCCAGTACAGTTCCTCAGTGACAGTTGAAGTGTGACATGAAAACTTTGCCAGAATTTTTATGAACAGAGCTCTAAGAACTTGGATTGTGACACACACCTAAATTCTAAGTTAGAGTGAAATGATCAGCTCACTGGAGTAGTCACTTATCTCTCACAATTGACAGCAAGCCCAATCTATAGGGTTAGGAGTCACTTGAATTTTGCCACATCTCTCTACACCATTGTTTTAAAACTGAGCATCTCCAGTCCCTTGGGCTTCTATAATGAAACTTCTGTCTGCTTCTTTTTTGGATGAAACGGGCCCTCAATAGAACAGAAAGAATGTCTCTGAGAGAGTTCATATTATGTCTCATTTACACAGAAACTCAGTTGAGAGATCCAAGATGACTTGGAACTATCTCTCTGTACTCAGGCAGAACTAGACTCAAAACTTTTCAGGACATATGTAAATTTTGTTGTTGTTGTTCAATACTGATCATCTACAAGTAAACCCAATAGTATTGTTGCCGAGAAAGAATACATAATATTAAAAATCTCTCTACTAATTTTAGCTTCTTTGTATGTGATCTAATTTTAATTTTCTGAGCCTAAATTTTCACTTACCTATGATCCACAGTAGCAGGTTTTCCAAAATCAATCTTTGATTTGTTGAATACAACATGTACTATCAAGGCTTTGTTCTTCTTTTATTCATGAGGTGAAATGGTATTTATCAAAGTGTTTTAAAAGACTTCAGATATTTTAAAGCTTTTGAAGAGTGTATGTATTTACTAATTATATCCTTCAAAACTCCATATTGGGCAAAGTTACGAATGTAACAAAAGTAAAGGGTACAGCATACTACATTCTATTCACCCCAAGCCCCCATCACCCAGACTCATAAGCTAATGGCCAAACTTATCTACATACATACCTATCCTCTCTCTATTGTCAGATTCTGTTGAAATAAACCCTAGAGAGCATATCATTCTTTTGATAAATATTTCAGCCCATCTTTCTAAAACATAAATCTCTTATTTAAAAAAATATATCTATAATACCATGATCACATCTAAAATATAATCTTTTTCTTTCTTTCACCTCCCAGAGGTGAGAGGTTGCTAAGGCCCTCTGTTGCCCTTCTGATGCCTCACTGATGCTGCTGCCTCCTTGTTTGCATTATTCTCTGTTGACTGTTAACACCTTGAAGGGCAGGGGTCACCCTATATTGCTCACCATTTTAATTCCAGTGCCTGCTGCAGTATCCAACATAAGTAGATTCTTAATGAATATTTATTGAAAGAGTGGTTTCAGTTTATAATATACAAAGGGGACAAGTGAGAGCTGAAATTTTGAGCCAACTTAAAAACATCAATAAGGGAACTAAATTATTAGGAATTGAACCTTAACTGAATTTACCCCCCACCCCCCAAAAAAATATTGTCGAGAACAGCAAGAGGTAGAGAAGAGAGAGGATGATGGGCCCTTCCTCATCCCCTGCTAACCTGTGCAAACTGACAGAGTGCTAATACAGTGGCTCCATCATAGAAGCAAGGACAAGCCCCCTGTCACCGATTCTCCTGGGGGCAGTAGCAGGTTCCTCTGGGACTTGAGGGCAGGGAAAGGTCATCTGGTACATTAGAACCCAGGAACTGGAAGCCCTCAATGGCAGTCACTTCTTGGATGCTGTTATCTTAGTGTAGACCTCCCCAAAACCCATGAAGAGGCCTCGTTAAGGGCTGCTAGTCTAACCTCTCATTTAAATCAGGGCTCCCACATGCACCTTTTTTTTTTTTTTTTTTTTGAGATGGATTCTTGCTCCATCACCCAGGCTGGAGTGCAATGGCATGATCTCGGCTCACTGCAACCTCTGCCTCCCGGGTTCAAGCGATTCTTCTGCCCTAGCCTCCCAAGTAGCTGGGACTACAGGTGCCCACCACCATGCCCAGCTAATTTTTGTATTTTTAGTAGAGACCGGGTTTTGCCATGTTGGCCAGGCTGGTCTCGAACTCCAGACCTCAGGTGATCCACCCGCCTTGGCCTCCCAAAGTGCTGGGATTACAGGCATGAGCCACCACGCCCGGCCACCATTTTTAATAAATGATGATGCAACCCCTTCTGGAAAACTGGTTCATAGAAGAGCTCAGTCCATTGTGAAGCAATTTTTAGTCAACAAGGACAAAAATGTTTTTTGGTATTCTGTTCTGAAACCTGATTTTCTAAAACTTCCATTTATGGGCCCTAGTTCTGGAAAAATACATAAGGACTTATTCCTCCTTTAATGTAATAGACCTTGAAATGTACTTTACAGAAAATTCCAATTTTGAAAAGTCTCAATCCCACAAAAGAGATCCAGATAAATTTATTATTGTTCTGAAAAAAATGTCACCCACATCTTTAGCTGTTTTGCTATAGACCCAAACCTTGGATCATTTGCTCCATTAATGTATTAGTTTTGTTAATATGATTGTGATGATAGATTACATTTTGTTCTAGGTTGAATTCTTCCTTTTCAAATTGCTGTCAGTTGAATTCATGTACTGACTTATTTACAGGTTACAAACAAGTAACTCAGTTGCTTTGTTTAGTTCCTAAATCACTTCCCTATTTTTAGATCATTACCATGTTTGAGAAGAATAGAGAACCTTTGATTTCCTAGGCATGTGGCTGCTTGAGGTGCCAGCATTGAGGGCTCTTGTAGCTAAATCTCATTCATAGAATGAAAGTATGCGGCTGGTTGTGGTTGTGACATTGAATTCAATTGTTTTTGTTTTTTTTCTAGGAAGAGATTCCACCTCATAGTTTTAGTCTAAGTTAATTTAGCTATGTTGGAGGCCTCCACGCCTCTGAGTAGGTTGCTCTATGATGACACCCCCCACTGTCTACTGGCCTCTGCTGTGTAACTTGAAGCCACCTGCAGTTGGTTGTGTTGGTGTGTAATATCCTAAGAAGTCATGCCATGTCCTTACAAGTGAAACCACAGTGCCTAGCTTCATTTAATGCCATTCCAAGTCACTTTGCCAGGAAAAATGATTGACTCATGGAAAGAAAGCTTGTATTAAAAGTGGAGGAAAACACAGATAATTTATTCAAGAAGGTCTTGATACCTAAATCACTTGGAAATAGATATTTATGTCCCTGATTCTGTTTATTTCATGTTCCAGAAATGTAAAGGCCTATGGGATTCACACATATCCTCCCAGTGTTTACTTCTCAACTAAACATTTCATATCCTGAAATATCCAAGTTATTTTTATCAGACAGCTTCAATGCTTTTCTCCCAGAGATTTTTGGGATAGAACAGTGGTTCTCAACCACAGGTGATTGCCCCTCCAGGGGACATTTGGCAATATTTGGAGATATTTTTGGTTGTCACAGATGAAGGGTTGCTACTGGCCTCAAGTAGGTAGAGGTCAGGAATTCTGCTAAAAATCCTGCAATGAGCAGGACAGCATCCCTACCTCCAACAAAGAATTGTCTGGTCCAAAATGTCAATAGTGCTAAGGTTGAGAAATCCTAGGTTAGAGAATCTATTTCTAATTGGTTTAAATTTTCTCTCTATTGACTTCAACCTTATTTACTGATTTAGATGATTTTCTTGAGTCTGACAATGACTGGGATTAGGAAAGAGCTGCTGCTTATCAAAACCCACTAAACCACACCCAAGATGAACTCACATTACAAGGATATTTCTGGGTGAGACTTGCTCCTCCATGCCTTCTGCATTGTTTATGTAAAGAGACTGAAAGGGAATAAGTTTTAGTTTTCTATTGCTGCCATATCAAATTGCTACAAATTTAGGAGCTTAAAGCAACACAAATTTTTTATCTTACAGTTCTGTAGGTCATATGCCTGGTACAGATTTCACTGGGCTAAAATCAGGGTGTTGGCAATGTAGAATTCATTCTGGATGCTCTGGGGGAATATTCATTTCCTTGCCCTTTTCTACTTCTCTAGGCTGCCGGCATTCCTTGGCTTGTGGCCCCTTTCTCCATGTTAAAGCCAGTAATGTGCAGCTCTCTGACCTTTCTTCTATCGTTATGTCTTCCTCACAGCCAGGAAGAGCTTTCTGCTTTTAAGGATGCTTGTGATTACATTGGGCCCACCCAGATAACCCAGGATAACTTCCCCATCTCATGGTCTCTCACTTAATCATATTTACAAAGTACCTTTTGCCATGTAAGGTAACATATATATTCATAGGTTGCAGGGACTAGGATATAGATACTTTTGGGAGCCATTATGTTGCCTATCACAAAATAAGACTAATTTTGGCACCACCTAACTTCCATTGGGCTATTGATGTCCTACGAACTGGGACAAACTAAAGAACAGAGGCTTTGGGGGATGTGCTGATATCGCATGTCATAGAATTTTCCTGGGAGTAGCTCAACTGCAGCCTTGTACATAGGAACAAGTCTGCTTCTAATGAAAGTGGATATTTCAATTGCCAATCATTTTGGAAAGAAGTCATTCCTGGGTGAGTCTTAGAAAGGGTGAGGAAAACACTTTCTTTTCTCTCCAAGGCCTGGGTCAATTTAGCCTAGATCTGGAGCGAAAGGAACCAAGAACACGTATAGATGTTAGGGGTAGGATAAACCCCTGGGCCTGAGGAAGTGGCCTGGGATAGAAGATATGATGTCAACTTACTTTGTAAGGGACCTAGAAGAGGGTGGAGACTGTGCAATATCTTGGAAAAGTCTTAGTTTTTCAAAAAGTATCCTGTCAGAAATGGAAGGAAATAGCTTCTGCTGTACTTGAAGATGGCTACCCTGGAATGGGAAGATGCAATCTACAGAGTCCAGAACACATGGCTAGTGAAAGGGGTCTGGGGAATGTATTGATTAATTTTATATGTCAACTTGACTGGGTTAAGGGATGCCCAGATAGCTTGTAAAACATTTTTTTCTGGGTGTACCAGTGAGGCTATCTCCAGAAGAGATTGGCATTTGAATTTGTAGACTGATTAAAGAAGCTTCACTTTTGCCAATGTGCACAAGCATCATCTAATCCTTTGAGGACCCAAAATGGTAAAAAAAAAAAAAAAAAAAAAAAAAAAAGGCAGAGGAAAGGCA